AAAAAGTTACAGCCAAAAACTAAAAAAATGGTTGTAAAATCCTTATTTTCTAAAGTCAGATCTTTTTTGCTGTAGAAAATATGTTGCTGTAGCAATAAATTTTAAAACTACATCTTTTACAGCTAAATCAAAAAAATCTATAGACTAATTTCTACAATAAAAATTTTACAACTACAGTTCAACCAATCATCCCCAAAGAGCTTTGTAGCACTGGTTAACAACACGTCGATTTTTATGTTTGATTTCAAATTTCTTGTCATTCTAATTTTTTTTTAAAAACAATAGGATAAATTATTGACCATGTATGAACTTAGAAAAGAAAACTGGCGGATGAATCAAATCTATTGTTCAATGGCAAGTTGAATATCATATTAATAATATTATTGTATAGACTCAATTCAAAGTTTTGAGACATAAATAATAGGGGTCTAAAGGGATCAACAAATACTTTAAGTGGTAAAATATTTTATGATGCCGTGGTTTTTATTTATTTTGTTATTTGTTTTAGTATATTAGTTTATTTTTTTCTATCATTATATTTCTTTCAAGTGAAATTTTGAGTAATATATTTTACGAATTTAACATGTACTATATATTATTTGATTAAGACAATTGTGGAGGTTTTATACCTTTTTATATTACCAGATTTTAGTTGTTTAACCGAATGTTAAGCTTTGTAGATATTGGCTACTAAATTTGGGTTTGTGTAACAACTATGAGTTCTATTAAAGGTTGTTCTTCATGACAAAAAAATGCTTGAAATCTACCACACCTCTCCTTCCTCTTAACATTTTTCGTTGATTCGTAGTTGGTATTTGGTAGAAACTGAACGTTATAACTTTACAAAACTATGATCAAGGAAAAAAATCATTATCTCCAGTAAATGTTATCACTTATAATCATATGATACTCAACATAGGAACAAAGAGAAGAAAGAGAATAACATTAGGAAGATCCTTTGCAGCATCCTAGATTATAGTGCCAAACTTCAGATTCCTTGTCCTCCTTTGTAATTCCTCTCCTACTGATAGCTTGATAAAAGACGTTGCAAAAAAGTGTGACAGTGTCTGAGTGGTCCTTAATACTAAGCTGAATGCATACACTTATCGTTCAAATCTCAAACTCCAAATTCAATTTCTCTTCATCATATGGTCATAGCTTTAGCTTATGAATGCAGAAAAGATGCTATTGACCAAGTTTAAACAAAAAACTAAGCAACTAAATGCTAAAATTATCAAAACACCTATGAGAAAGATGTTGCAAGTAGATACCTTTGATTACATCAGATTGTATTAAAAAGTTTTAGATCATTAGACAGAGGGTAAGAAACAAAATCAGAACTTTTGATATATGTTTAAGGAGTCAGACCTTTATAGCTAGGGATCCAAGCTATGGATTTCATGGTATGTAAGGCTTATGCAAACTTTGTTGAGCACTTAGTCTTTGTTTGGGTTCCCTTTGAGCATATTTCTTATCAATTTTGTTCCCTTTTTGATCTGTGGCGAATGATATGATGAAAAAGCAAGCTAACCCTCCAGAATCTCAAATGACATAACTATACATTCAAATGATGAACGCTCACCTTTTTTATAACTTGAAATCCACTGTCTCGAAAATCTTGTTTCGAAAATCGGTAAGATGCATTGAATGAGTTATTGTTCTTGTAGTGAGTTACCGGTAAGAGGGTCGTTAATGACCATGAATCTAAGCATCTTGGAGTTAAATAATCACAAATAAAATGACACGAACTACGCTCGATCCAGAGATTCTTCATGAAGATCCGTCTCACATCACCCTCCCGAAACTCCATTTCTAGTCTAACTATCCACAGCTCGACGAACAAAATGAACCCTAGAAATGAATGATCGACTTTCTTGAAGTAGGTGAATATGGATTTTTTGTTTTTTCATCAGACCCAAATTACAAACGTCGTTGCCCATTCAGTACACCATGTGAAGCCAAAACAGAACCCAGACAAAAAAAATTAACATTGAATTGGACATGTGTCATGCTAGGAAGAGATGAATTAGTAATGTGGCATCCTTAAAAGAGAGAAACGTCTTTTTTTTTTATATATATATAGATTAGTGATAAACTTAAAGAAAAAAAAATCTGTTTAGATTTTACAATACTTCAATATAGACCCAAAATATAAAATATATCAGTTAACAAGTTATATATCCTTTTACCAACCATATATCAACTAATTACATATATTTGTAACATTTAACCAATTTCTTTATATCAATTAGCAGTAATATGATTATAACATCTAAACATATATAACAAGTGAAGACATAAAACTGAAAATCCACTAAAACATAATATCAAGTATCAAGTAAAACTAGATCTCGACCCGCACAACCGTGCGGGTATTTTAATACGAAAATATTTGAAATTATCTAACACTCACTCCGTTTTAAATAGATGATGTTTTATAAGATTTACTTTATTTCAAAATATAAGACGTTTTGAGATTTTAAGGTATATTTTGAGGTTTTAAAGTTATCTTTAACTTTATTGGAAACTGTTCAACCGATAAAATTTTACTCTTTTTAATAATTTGTTGAATGATTATAAAATTATATCTTAAAAATACTTTTGTAAAAGAATGTAAATTTCTTAATTTCTGTGTTATGATCCAAAACATCATATATTAAGTAACAGAGGGAGTAAAATTTATCAATAAATAAATATAATTTGATTGTATATACTATCCAATTTTATAATAATATTTATGTAGCTTATAATATTATTAATTTAAAATTTCTAAATTTGTATTTTGTAACAATTTTTAAAAACATTATTATGTAACAATTTTTAAAAACATTATTATGTGACATTACTAATTTATATATTTTGTTTTATTTCTAAATTTTAATTATATAAAAATGTAAATTAAATTGGACCTACATAATACATAAACAAATTTTGGGATATTGTTAAAAGTTTATTACATAATTTTAATTTTTGTTAAAAAATTAATTAAATTTTAGTTATATTCTATGATAATTAAATTTTTAATCAAACAGTTTTTGAAACTATATCTTGAAAAGATTCTATAAGATTTTTAAAAGATTTTGTTAGAATTTTTTTTTAAAATTTGTATTTCAAATAAAAATTAAAGATATAAAAAGATATTATAATGATATTATGTAAATTTATATAAAATTTTTAAGGATGGTCCAAACTAAAAAATCACACATGAAGTGAGTCATGACTTCTCTTTTAATATAATAGATAGTTTATACATCCACAAACTTATAAACCTCATTCATACATCTCATCATATCTTCGATTTTAATATCACATCAACTAACTTTCCTAACGAATCTATCTCGAATGATATGATGAAAAAGCAAGCTAACCCTCCAGAATCTCAAATGACATAACTATACATTCAAATGATGAACGCTCACCTTTTTTATAACTTGAAATCCACTGTCTCGAAAATCTTGTTTCGAAAATCGGTAAGATGCATTGAATGAGTTATTGTTCTTGTAGTGAGTTACCGGTAAGAGGGTCGTTAATGACCATGAATCTAAGCATCTTGGAGTTAAATAATCACAAATAAAATGACACGAACTACGTTCGATCCAGAGATTCTTCATGAAGATCCGTCTCACATCACCCTCCCGAAACTCCATTTCTAGTCTAACTATCCACAGCTCGACGAACAAAATGAACCCTAGAAATGAATGATCGACTTTCTTGAAGTAGGTGAATATGGATTTTTTGTTTTTTCATCAGACCCAAATTACAAACGTCGTTGCCCATTCAGTACACCATGTGAAGCCAAAACAGAACCCAGACAAAAAAAATTAACATTGAATTGGACATGTGTCATGCTAGGAAGAGATGAATTAGTAATGTGGCATCCTTAAAAGAGAGAAACGTCTTTTTTTTATATATATATAGATTAGTGATAAACTTAAAGAAGAAAAAAATCTGTTTAGATTTTACAATACTTCAATATAGACCCAAAATATAAAATATATCAGTTAACAAGTTATATATCCTTTTACCAACCATATATCAACTAATTACATATATTTGTAACATTTAACCAATTTCTTTATATCAATTAGCAGTAATATGATTATAACATCTAAACATATATAACAAGTGAAGACATAAAACTGAAAATCCACTAAAACATAATATCAAGTATCAAGTAAAATGCCGACTAACATAAATGTTATCCATATCGAAAATAATTTCAAAAACTAGCTCTCCTCTTTTCCAGCTTCAACTTCAACAAGTCCGTCGATTTTGATTTCTCACACGAATGAAATCCAGGAGGATCATGTTGGAACACACTGGAAACATTCTCTTCTTTAATATTTATGCATAACGTTATTGTTGATGAAATATAATCATGCTTTTTTCTGATAAGTGTGAATTTTCATTACCGAAATAATGATACAGAGATACATATGTAGTCTTTGAAACTCAAATCCAAATGTATCTAAAACAGCTTATCTAAAGAAAGGGTCTTGCGAGCCCCAGAAAAGATAAAAAAAAAAAAAAGAAGACTTTCCTAGATATGACTAAACCTTAGCTAACTAGAATCAAAGAACAGCCAAATTTTATTTCAGTATATTCACGCCTTATCTCGTCACCGGTACGAAAGAGAGAAAATGTGTCTCTCACCTCTCCCTTACTTTTTTTTTGGTTCATTTTTCTTATATGCATGCTTTTAATCTCACATTCTTGTCGAACCTCTGCGTTTTTGCACTGTGGAGATGAATCACAATGTTGTGTTAACCGCGCAAGGACCTAATTTTTTTTCACTCAAAATACAAATGTATTGCATCGTGGAAAAGTCAAAGCAACTGTCATGAAATTAAAAATAGAATTACAGAGAAATTTGCGTGGCCACACCTACACACGAATTTGCCGCCCCAAAACTTAACTAATCCAAGTTAAACTATATATAACTACATTCATACGTAGTGCTTAATACCTTTTTGTTACATTTTGATTAGAGGACAACAAAAATGGATACTTCACATTTTCGTCGTCGATGTTTCATCTTGCTTATAGTTCTATTTTATTCCTCTGTGTTTAATTTAGCTTCCAATATGGATATTTCTGATGATGCAAGAGGCAGAAAAATCAACAGTACCCCGAAACGTTTTCTCGGTAGTACAGTTGACAATGGCACGGACACGGGCGATGGATATATTCTATGTGCAGAAGCTGATCTCGAACTTCCGATGTTGGATTTTAATTGCTACCAAACACCTAAAGGTGTTATTAAAAAGATCAATTTCGTTGATTATGGCAATCCTTCCGGTAAGTGTGAACACTATAGACACGGCAACTGCGGCGCTAAAACTGCCATGAATGTCGTCAAAAAGGTTAGCAAAATCAACAATATGTTTTGTTAAAATAGTGAACAATAAATATCCCAATGAATCTTATTGTTAAGTATAATTTGTGCAGAATTGTCTTGGAAAAGGCAGGTGTTTGCTTTTGGTTTCGGACGAGATGTTTGGTCCGAGTCACTGCAGTAAAGATATTAAGCTTTTTGTTCAAGTCACTTGTACAAAAGATTAGATTTCTTATTTTCTCTTTAATTAAGGTCTTTAAAAATATATATCAGGTTGCATGGTTTGTTTCCTTGTATTGATCGGGTTCGTGTTGATTATTAAAGGAAGATCCGATATAGTTAAGTTATTTATTCTATTTGTTAGTTTGCAACAAGGGTTGATGTTGATGCACACATCTGAAACGATCTTAACCAATTTTTTGAGAATTTTAGAAATGTATCTTTTCGTTGAAGGAGAATGAGTAAGTGAAAGAAAGACGTCAAAGGTTGTGTAACATCATGAAAAAAAGAGAGTAACTAGTTAGTTTTAGTCAAAAGCTAATTAACACATAATAATTGTTGGAGTTGAGAGCAACTGCCAACCAGGACCGTACTTTAATACAAGTCTATTAAGCATTTGCTTTGGGACCAACAGTGTTAAATACATTTTAGGGGCCAATTTGTTAAAAGATTAGTTGGTTAAGATGGTTGTGTGGTGCTTATTTGATCAATTTGATGGCGGGTTCGATGAATACTTACTGCCATTTTGCCAAAAATATTATAATAAAAGGCTAATTTTTTTTGTTTGTTTCTGGGTCCTAAAAAGTCAGGCACGGCCCTGCTGCCAACTAACGCAAGTTGTTTAGTTTGGTTTTTTTTTGAGCTGAAGTTGATTAGTTTTGCTTGTAAACTTTTTTCATAGATAAATGATTGTTTTTTTTTTTTTTTTGAGAAAGGGCTTAAATGATTGTTGTTTAAGCTTCTATAAAGTAAGTAGAGCAAAATCTTCTATAAAGTAATATGTATGCGTGCAATGTTGTAAAAAATATCAATTTCTAATAAAAAAATAGAGTTGGATCAAAGTAAAAAATGAGTTGAGAGAGAGAGAGAGAGAGAGAGAGAGCACTCAAGAGAGATGTGGGATAATCGAGCAAGAGAGAGAGATGGAGAAAAAATAATTAGAGGAAACATGAGTGTGTTTCAAAAGTTCAGAGTTATATTCAACATTCATACAACACAAAATCTGCCAGTTTATGTTTCTCACATCTCTCAATTTTAAGCTGTAACAGAGTTGTTTGTTGTCACTGAACTTTGATCTCATATTTTCAAACACTCTCAATCTCTCATTTCCCACTTGGGAGCAAAGCTGAATTAAGTCCAACATAGTATCAGAGCAATATGTCAATAGAGAACACCCTTCAATAATAATGTTAAGAAAGCGTTGTCAGGGGAGACAACAAGAAGGCCAATACTCTATAAGAACACACACTGACTGTCTAAGAATTGGCTAGCCAACCTAATAAACGAAAACTTCTATATAAATATATGTAGCCAGACTGAAGAAAGTTTGCAACCATCTACAAACTCGATTGAAATTTAATATAACGTGGATTCAGTTGCTGAACTAATTATGATAAATGGAACCAATTTTAGTAAAATACTAGGTGTTGACCCGCACCCTGCGCGGGGTGAGATTATTTTGACTTTGATCGAACAATAATTTGGTATATTAATTTGTTTAACTAAAAATAGGTAGTGGATGTGAATTAGTAATAAAAATCATATAGTCATATAATGAGATATTAGTATAGCTGCGAAACGAAGCATTGATTCATAGCTATTTGTTTTCACTTTTTGTCTTATATATCTGTTTGTC